CGCGGCCCTACTTACCCTAGAAGGAATGCCTACCCTGGTGGCCACTGAGAAGATTCTGCTGTCTATTCCTCTGAGCAGACCCGTGCCAAGGTTGGATCAGTTCGGTTCGAGAAGAAGAATTCGAGTCTCCGACCAGATATCGAGATCGCTCAAACTCGATAGGAGGAAAAACGGATGGAAACCCAGAGGATAATAATCGTCTTTCCTCGGCGCTTCTATCCCGGTCGGAATAGAAAATTTTCCTCTCGCCGCAGATCTATTCAAATCGGTCGACGAACGCGCTGGACCGAGTTTGCGGGTTCCGTAAGAACGGAATGGCCACAGGTGGTCCATTTGTTGACCTGCGGTAAAGTTGCAGGCTCTTCTTCTTCGGGGAGATAGTATACGCGGACGGGACAAGTGAGAGGGAACGAGAGCGGCATAGAAGCGGCAAATAGAGAAGGACGAGGAGGAATAAGAGGAGCGCAGACGAAAAAGATAGAGAGACGGTTCGCTCAGCAATTCGCTACTGAGTGAGTGAGTGCACCCGGAGGAAGCGGAGCTACTAGTACACAACAAACGAAGGAACCAACCAGCCTGCCTGCCAGGCAGTCGAGAAGCCCACCAACAAGTCAGACTGGCATCGACGCAGTAGTCCACCAGCGGTCGGGCCGGCCGACGGGGGGTCCGGCATCGAGTCTCTCTCGGCCGCAAACGGCGTGTTTGCCTTCGTCGTCGACGGGAAGCCCGCGAGTGAGGCCCCTCTACCGAGAGTCCTCTTCTTCATCTCCTCTGGCGGCGGTGGTGGTGGCGGCGGCGGCGGCGGCCGTAGCAGCGTCTAGTGCGGCTCCTCAAGAAAGGAGTGGCTCGATAAATTGCATTTGGCTGCCGCTACGGCGTCTCCTCTCGTGTTCGTCCGATGCCTGAGGATTCCGAGCGTCTTTTCGCTTCCCTCCCTAGGATTTACCTCGCTTCGGATGCGGCTCGAGGTCATCGAGAGAATCTATCGACGGTGTACGAACGGCGACAAACGTTGGCGCCGGCGACTCCGGGTCCATCGCTCCCTTGACGAGGCGGGAGACCTCGGGTAGATGTCCAGTGGATCGGATTACTCTCTCTTCGAGTCACCTGGTCCTTGTCACATTTGTGGACTACGGAGCCACCCGCCTGGGGACCGAGAGGCCACACGGCAATGTGGAGCAAACAACCACTCAGTCAGTCAGTCAGTCGGTCGAGAGCTCAGAGGAACAAACACTGACATGTAGACTACCTGGCGAACGAGCAGCCTGCAAACAGAACGATTGAGTAACCACACAGACCGCTCGAAGTAGCTGTGAGGGAGAAGGAGACATTCGTTGCGAGCGTCCTCGTTCCCTCCAATCTGCAGAGGATTCCACCCATGCTCTGGGGCGTTTCGGCGGCCGGACGTTCTATCTTTTTACTAAAGTGACATCCATCAAGTTCTTTGATCACGCACCTGAGCACGGAGTGTCGCGGTGGGCCCGTAGGGTCGGCCTCGCTAAGGAATGCCTCGAGCAGGGAAAGCATCATTACGTAAATTGGGAGATGGGGGAAGGGAAAGTGGGTTTCAGAAGGTGAATGAAGGCAACAGTAGACTCAAGTGAGTACTCTTGCTTCTATCCCGCCTTTCGCTCGTGCTCCGTGTCTAAAGAGTCAGGCCGCGGAGAGGACAGCTGCGGTAGAAAACTTGGGGAATATTAAGATCGGTGATCTGGGTTTTACTCGCCGTATCGGAACCAGAAAGTATTCGATCTTCTGATCGAGCGTTGAATCCATCAATCGCTCCAGCCAGGGAAAGGTGATGCGAACATTCGAACGGCACCTTTGAAGCCACCGCTCTCCTGCGCCTACCTGAATTTCGATAGGAACGAACCAGCGAGATTATCTGAACGGATATGCTGATCCCGAAAGCGAAAGGATGGGTACCGAACCGGCTGGAGAGCCGAGAACGACAAGCGAATAAGAAAGAAGGAGCCACGGAAAGCTTTTGGATATCGCCGAGATCGCGAGTAACTTGACTCGTACCGGCTCTCGATAAGGCCCTTGGTCGAAGCCTCACTGGGTGACCGACGCCGACGCTCATGAGGGTGATCTGAATATTTTCATCGGAGCATCTGACTTGAATTCATACACTTGTCGAGCATTTCTCCATACGACTGGCTCCCTCCCCCGAGAGGAAGGGAAAGCAATAAGGACTGAGACGGCACCTCCATCACGTTCTGCGACGACGACAGTTACGCAGGTCTCATATGAAGAGATTGGAAAATCAAACTCGGATAAAGACCTTCAGCGAGCGGGAAGGTCTTCCAACGACGAAAAAGCTAAACTTGTCACTTCATGAGGCGTCCTCGGACGTACCAAATCCGAGGGAGAAAATGAGGGCAGAAACGAGACGCTGCAGACGGAATTCAGAGAAAGCGGTGGGACTGTTTTGAGAGATAGGGCCTCGTTGTGGAACTTTCGGAGGAGCGAACCTAGAACAAAAAAAGACCCAGAAGCTCCCGAGGAGAATGGGCTGGCTGCCAATGAAGGAGAAGCCTGGTGAGGTCAGCCGAACTGACCCTCCCACCATTCGAGGCTCCTGCCAAGCGGGCCGCTGAGCGAGGAACCCGACGGAAAATGGAGCTTAAAAAAAAAGAAGCTCCTGAGGGCTCAATGGTAGGCACCGCTAGAGGGGCCCCCGTTGTGAACCGTTTTAAATTATTGCTATAAGGCCCAGAGAAGGCTTGCTCGCAAAGGTCCCTTCTCCAACGGAGATCCGGTCCTATTGATATTTTTTCTTCGCCTCGTTTTCATCGGCCAACATTGGCCAAGAAGACTCCTTCTTTGCTTCCATGACACTTTTCGCGCCCCATCCTCCACTTCCCCAAACTTTGCATGAAGCGCGCTCGGGACCCAACTACTATCCTATTTTTTCCCGAGTCCTCGAGATTTTATAATTTATGCCGATGACATCTCGATATCCAAGATTGTTATCCGATATCTGGAGTCTCTGCCGGATACTTGAAGCTCTTACTCGGCCGAAGTCGCCGCGACGGTCATTCTACGATTCATTCTATCGCCAATCGGCAGCGACCAAAATCTTCCGAAGCCTCGCTGCTGCTTACTCTTGGCCGATCAACATCAGATTTCGTTTCCCGAAAGACCCCTGCTCGATCCGACGCGGAGGCTTCATGTGGGTATGCATTCCCCTTTCGTTTTCGCTCGAGGTAATCGTTCCTTCAGAAGAAGTATGCGAAAAGACACTCGTTGTCGCTCTTCGGAATCAACTCTGATGCTGGATTTCGACGAATTATCATAGAAGATATGGTTATTTTGTAAACGTCATTTATTTCCCATCTTCTCGTATCTTCCTCATGAGTTATATCCACTTCACATTGATTTGACTCACAAATCAAATTCGTAATGAATGAGACTTAGCGGAGATGGTTACTTGGTGTTCTGTTGTAAATGTGTATTCCTTGAGAATTATTACTCTGTCGGTTGTTGTCGTTGCTGTGGGTGTTGTTTCCGTTCCGCTGAAATTGCGATCTGTGTTTGTCTGTCTTCCTATATTTCTATATGTTGTCCCGATTTGAGGATGAGTCCTGTCTCGTCATGTTAATTCCTTCCTCTGCGCGATTCGAAGCAGGCAATCGGACGCAGGTGTCTCTCACCGAGTTTTCCCTCACTGGAAATTCCCCCCCTGAAATTCATTGGGTCTCCTCACACTGCAACAGAGGATCTAGTTAGGCGGGTATTGTTCGGGAACTCAAGAGCTCCACTTACGCATCGAAATCAAAAGGAAGAAGACAAGAAAAGCCCCTAACGGCGAGGAACGCAGAGATAATCCCACTTGGGTCATGACGCTTTGCGTGATGAATCATCGATCAAACCGGCAACGATGGCGGGCTGGCGATGGATCCGAAGATCATTCCACCGGCCTAGTCGAGTCCGAGCTTGGGCTCGGTCAAATGAATCGCTCACTTCGAGAGAGGGGCGAAATACAGGTTTCTTCATTTGACTTTCGTCTCGCGACAGCGTCCCAATTACAGAGATTCGTGGTGATTATTTCAGCAGCTATTCATCTGCCCAGCTGGTTCTTCTGTGCTGCCAACAGCCGACCGTCTAGTGAGTATCTGACGACGGGCTGGCTGGCTGCATACTTACCTACCGACATCACTAATAAGTGTAACTGGATGGATCATAGCACAGTTTATTTACTATGCGATGCTTGGTCAGGCCACTGCGGACGATTTTCCGGGAGGGAATCATTGGCACAGGTAGTTTTACCTCAGAAGAGAAAACGCTCAAAACTTTCCGGAGGTCCGTATGGTCCTGACCCGCACCACATTACATCCAATGTTGACCCGAACTCGCGCTGGTTGACTCGATGACCCGGCCCGGATTTCCGTTCAGCTGGACTCCTTATTTTACCTCGGACCACAGCGGTTGTTGAGTCGCGCGTTGAGATCTTTCCAATAAGAAAATACAATTGGCGACGGATTCTTCGAAGATCAATTTCTTCCGATCCCTTCCCCTCCTGATTCTTCGACTCTCACCCCAGTCTCCATTCATCTTCTCTCCGTTGATTCCGCTTTCGCATCACACAGAAATCCAACGGGTGACGCGAAAGATGGCCGAAATAATTTCCGGGAAGGGAACGGAGTTTCGCGAGATGTCACATGAAGCCGATCGTCGCTCCGGCGCCGCACCGGTTCTCCCCATCCCCGGTGTTCTGTGGAAGGTTCGAGCGAGGCGACCGCCTATGGATTGGTATTCTGACTTCTTCCGTTCGGGTTTGCTGCACAGAAACTTTCCGGTATGCGTTCCCATCGACTCCGTCGAGGGAGTACGGGAACAGCGGCGAAGAAGCAGCGCTTTGGAACAGAGAAACACGCGACGAAAAAGCTTCTGCCACGGGGTTCGCGGTTGTGACGGTTCGGAACGGGTGTGAAACGCTATCCCGTACATATATGTATATCGTTACTTAAAACCTAGCCTTATTGGAAACCCGAAACTCAATAGTGTCCATGGTTTGGCGATTCCGGAAACAGGAGGGGCATCCGCATTGAATCCAGGTGGACGTCCTTGGAGGAAACTGAGTAAACGTTGCGCTGATTAGAATCGCTGCCAGGGTAGGCATAACTTGTCCCCTTGAAGAGTGGACCCTCGTCTGCGCTGGCGGGAAAAGATAAACAACTTTAAATCCTGTGTTCGTGGTTATTCCCGTCACGGTACATAAAGGAGCAGACGTTGCCGGAAGAGATTCCTCCCGCGCTGTCGAGAAACTGGAGGAGTCATGCGGGAGCGAGAAATAATCCTCGAGGAGCTCCGCAACCCACGCCAAGAACCAAAGAAAAGCCAAGTCGAAGCCAGAAATAGAGAACAAGAGTTTGTTCCTGATAACAGAAAGCCGGGCAGCCGAAGTCGAAACGGACACGGTCCCTGGCCCTCAACGGCAGTCTACTAGAGCAGAAAATTGACGACCGTAGCCCCGAGACCCAGCGAACGAAAAGGAGCGGGGCGAGAGGAAAACAAACAGCTTCCAGGATAAGTGCGAAAGATTGCGAAGGAATGAAAGGTCCGAGATCGCTGATGATAACGCCAAGGACGGAGTGGATGAAATCTACAAGGTTCCGGCAAGGGAGCGAGACGGGAAAGAGCCGCGCCGAGTGAAAGAAAAACATCTCCGGAAGACGCCGCCATTAATAAAGCAAGTTGCCCGCCACGTCGCACTCCGCGTAACTCAACCCTTCGGCGCTCCGCACTATTGGGTCTGAACGACAGCCACCACAAGATAAGCAACAATGGAAGAACACCGAAGCAAAAAAAACACTCGGCACTGAGCAACCATGAACATTCCGAGAGGAATCAGAGCAGAGCAGGCGGAGGGAATAGGGACGAGGGAGCGGTAGCCCGTGCGCACGCATCGGCGGGGGCTCACTCACAAGACTGGGAGCAAAGAAATACTCACAAGTGGCCCGAGTTGTTCTTCAGTCTTTCGCAGTCGGGATCTAGCTGATCAGCTGGCGGCAGTTTGCTGCTGATCCGGCATTGACAAACTGTCACCACGAGCGCGACCAGAGCGCAAACCCCGGCCAAGGTCGCGCAGGCCACGTAGATCGAATGCAGTCGTTCGGAGCTGGGTTGACGACTCTCGTCCGGATTGTATACGCGACGTTCCGCGATAGCTTGCGGGTAGGCGATTTCTGCAATCAGACAGTACGACGTGTGCGTTAGCACGCTGGAGCTGATGAAGCTTATTAGCCGCCCACTGTTGTTTATTTGAGGAGAAGCGCTCATTCGGCCCGCACGCCCCAGTGTGTGCACCATCTTTCCGTCCGATCTGACACGGCTTCGCGTCAAAATACGCTCCTCTGATTGAGGCCACTCCGTGGAAACACAGCGGCGTGGAGCCTCCGCCTTAGCTTCTGAATGCTCAAGCTCTCCCTTCGAGGTCGGAGAAATGATCCGTTGCCCGTGGCCGAATCGGGAAAAATCATGAACCGTCCCGATACATAAGAGCTCGATTCTGGAGGAAGAGGAACAACGATTCCGGATCGGGGCTTTCGATTAGATGGTAAGTCGAGCCCATCCAGTCCCGAGAATGGTAGAGAGAGCCTCTTGCACACAGAGGGCGCACTCAGATCCTGCGTCGTCTGAGTCCACATCTGGACAGAAGCGGCTATGCATACCTTCGCAATTGTCTCCGGCGAAGCCCGGAGGACACGAGCAATAGAAAGTGTCCATGCTAGGCCAGCAGGATCCGCCGTGCTGACAAGGATTAGGGTAGCATGGATCCTGTTGGTCTCTGGTGGCGCAACCAGAGCCTCGGCAAACGCATGTGTAGTTGTTCCCTCTGTCGATGCACGTAGCCGGAGCTGAACAGGGATTCGGTTTGCAGAGATCGATCTGGAACAATGCGATGCGGGATTTAGCGTCGGCTTGAAAACGAGCGAGCGAGCGCGCTCGCCCTCCCGCAAGCAGCGGAGCATTAGCGTCATTGTTTGTCTCGTGGCCCGAGGGCACGTAGAACGCGAATTTACCTTCATTTCGCAACGCCTCCCGTTGTAGCCTGGTCCACAATGACACTTGTAACCGGCTATGAGGTCTTCACAGGCGCCGTTATTGACGCAGGGCGAGGAATCGCATTCGTCGTATTCAAATTCACAAAGTTCTCCACCGTATCCCGGCAAACAGTAGCACTTGAATTCTCCCACGCCGTCTTCGCACATTCCGTGCACGCAAGGCTTGGATTCACACTCATCGATGTTCACCTCGCAGTTCGGTCCTTCGAAACCTTCGGAGAGAAAGCGAGACGAGATCAGCTGAGATCAGGAGTAAAAACAAGGAAAAAAAGACCCGAACTTTCTGACTCCGTGTATCGTCACGGATATTTGTTGCATGCGGGAATCGTTCCCGGAGGCTCCCCGGGACGACGGGGAAATTCTCTCTTGTCAGGAACACGCCGCTGCGATAGGGGACGTCGAGGCATACCTCTTTGGCATTCGCACGCGTACTCAGGAGTTCCAGTGGCGTTCGCAGGTGCGGACACACAGGTGGCATTGTTCTTGCAGGGATGATGCATTTCGCAGAAGTCCGCATTCTCCTCACAATTCGTTCCTCGGAAGGCATGAGGACAGAGACATTGATAGAGGTTGCCATGCAATCCCTCGCTGATATCAACGCAGAATCCTTTGTTCTTGCACGGATTCACTGCACAGGCATCGTATTCATCGCAGGTGCGACCTTTGATGTTCTGGCAGCAATGGCAGGTGTAGGTGCTCTGCAAATGGATCGCGATTAGATTCTTTCATAGGCTCGCTTTCAATTTATTCCGAGTAAACAGCGATGGACCGTATGAATTGTTCTGCATAACTGTTTGCCCAGTCCTATCCGTCCTATGGATTCAGAGGCTCGAAGCAGGTCATACGATGTCGTTTTTCTCTCTTGGTGGAGGGGCTTCCCCCGGCCCCCTCCAGACCTCGACAGCCTCTCTCGGACTGTGCGAATCGTTGACTCTGTTTGCTTATGCGCGTTCTCGTTCCTCATTCATCTATACGCTTGACCAACACCGTGTGAGCTTTCTCCTCACGAAAAAACTCGACCGGGATCGGCCCAATATTTCTGTCGATATTTCTGTCTCGCTCGAAAGCTGACTTGCATACGACTGCGGTAGGAATCGTACGGATCCAGCTAACGAATCGAGTTCGTGGGGCCGAGGTTCAGAAGAAAGCAAGCAAGAGTTATTCTCGTCGCTCTAACTAAACACGGCTTGCTGATGCAGAGCAGCGGGCCGCCCGACTCGTTTGCCCGTTCGCTCCGCTGCCGGTTGTTTCTGTTCAACAAGGACCAGCGGCTTCCATTAAGCTACAACAAAAGACCTTACGATTAGATTTTTGTTGGCTGACTCAGCCTCCACAGTCGGGGCTTGTCTGTCTCTCCGAATGAGTCGAATCAGCTGTTCGGCCCTACCGTGCCTAATCGTCGGGCCCCCACAATCCGTAAAGCGTCACTGAGCCCGTCCGAAGTCCGCCCGCCCGGTTAATATGGCTAACGGGAAAACTTTCAGAGCGAAAAAACCATCCGCTCCATTGCGACAACGCGGCAGGATCAGTACTGCGGGGCAGTCTCCCTGACGTGAGCTCCGAGAGAGCAGAATGCATTAGGGGGCTAGGCCGGTTAGCTCACTAGCCCGAAAGCCGAGAGCGAGCCAGCTCGGGACGGCCTCTGCTTTGTTCTGATGACATCACTCAATTACGTTTTCCTCGCCCAGGCTGGTGGTGGGAGTCCTTTTTCCCGAGCCGACGTATACTCCTCGTTGGGAGATCCCCCAGTTGTTGTTCCTTCCAAGTCTACTTTTGTGGCCTCATCCGGACCCTCTATTCCGTCCGTTGCTCGCTAGCTCGCTGCTCGTCCGACCGTAGCTTGCTTTCAAGGCATCCTGCGACAACAACGACGCCGACGGCGGCGGCATTGATAGTGCACCTCGTCGAAACAGGCGTCTTCTCTTACAATGCCATAAAACGGAAGATGCCCAACATAAACAAGCGTCAACATGTTGTATTCCGCGGTATATTTTTCGTCGTCCCTCCGAGGCGTTGTGATTCCCTTCATCGTGTCCCGTTTGTGCTCCACTTCACCTCGTCTCCCCTCTCGGCATTGAACCAATCCCAGCCGAGACCCGTCGCGTCGTTCCGTCTCCTCGCCTCATAACCTCTTGGCAGCTTCGTATTGCATTCTCCTTCAGCTCGCTGCCTCCTCGGACACCGTCGTAGTCTTCCTCTCGGTCGTTCTCCTTGAGCTACTGAACGGTTGTACGGGTCGTTCAAAACAACTCCGGCTCGGCCGCCCCGGAGACCTGCCGCTTTTTTGCTGGATGACGAATAATCGCCGTCCGACGTATTCCGCTCACTCGACGCCCGTCAGGGAGGGACGACTCTATTGTCTCCCGGAGAATAAATATCCGAGCCAGGCTACGAGGCAGACGGAACGACAAGCAGCGCACGTAACAGAAAACGGAAAAGAACGGCGTTGACAACATCCATACACTCACCTCACCCGGCGCGAGCGCGCACACTCCCCGTCCGGAGCAGAGCTCACCGCTCTCCTTACGGGAATCGCATTCCGAGTCGTAAACGGAAATTCGAATATGCCAGACGCGAACGACGCTGTCCGATTGCACGGCCACTGAAATGTGAAGGAGAGCTTATTGCTACGGAGACATCTTCTGAAATGAATCTATTCGGAACGAGAGCGCCTTCAGCCGGTTCCACCGAGCCGGCGACGACTTGTAGCTCTCGGGAGACTCGTAACACTTTTTTATTTCCATGTTCGACAAGCGAACCATGCCGAACGAACAGGAAGTTTTCGATTGAATTCTGATCATGCTCCGATGAAAGATGCCGCCTCCGCGAGGTAATTCCGCAGCTCCCGTCCGGCTTCGCGGGGACCCGTTTTCTCAATTTCTCGCGAGGGCTACAGATTCCGCCTGATCTATACCGCGCCTCGCTATGAATTTCGCGAGCACGGGGAATCTTCCAAAGTTTCCGAGAATCCTCCGGAGTCCCCTCGAATGCCATGGCGCTCGCACAAGAATCACTGTTTTGAGACTACGACTCGGTTGTAGCGCAATACTCACCCGCGAAGAACTGCAGGCCGCTCTGAGTGAGCAAATCTGCTTCAATGAGGAAGTTTTGGCTTCGGTTCCAGACGACTGAGCCGTGAGGGGGCTCCACGCATTCGGTCAAGGCTTCTTCCTGTGATCGGTGTAGAGTGACCACGGCATCGTCGTCCACTTCGTCCACGAAAAGCCTGGGCAACAAAAACAAGTAACGGTCATTGGCGTAACGATCAGTTCAATTCTTCTCGCTAAGTTCCTAGATTCCGAATGAGCGAACTCTCCTGGAACTCCCACAGGAACGTTCCCAGTGTCCTTGATGAGAGCTCCCGCGAGGTCCCGAAACGAGAACCCCTCTCCCGCCAGGACTCTCGAGTTTCCCCCATCGTTTTTTCCCATCAATATGCTGATTTCCTGCCCCGAGCGACCTCTGGATCTACAAACGCGGTAGTTTCCTGATATCCACGAGTTTAATTATTTCTTCGTTGCCGCGTACCGTCGAGATGAGACTGGGGGAAAGTCCGATCCGATTCCATCACGATACTTAGAAGTCGATATATTCTGTCTCTGAATCCAGCTCAAATTGAAGTCTCGGAATAAAAAGTCTGGGATTCAAGCCCGGCACTCGGGACGACCTCAGTAGACAATCTACGATGGAACTCCGGTTACTCACCCCTCTCCCGAAACTTTTTCTTCCCGCCCCCCCCCTCCTCAGTTCCAGGATTCTCTGCGGGAACTTTCGCGTAGAATATTTGAACATCGACGGAACACGTAGCTGATTACGCTCAGTAACTTCTTCGCTCTCAAGGTCTCGGAAGAAGCCGAGAGTGATACGCTGTTTTTTCCCCCGCAGACCTGACTGCACGTGAACTGAATTCCAAATCCGGATGTCTCTCTTTCCCTTCTGTCTATATGCTCGTGCGGATACTCCTTTCCGCTACAGTGTCACTTCCAAGTTCGTTCCGCTCGGAGTCTCGGGAAGAGGATCCGTGAAGCGAAAGTTTCTCGAGCTACAGCCTACTCCGCAACCGTCAAGACGACAATCACGGTCGAGGGGGGAGCTCGCGAGCGTTCGGGGCTAGCACATACGAGCGAACTTGAAGAACTATGAGATAATTTGAAGGAGCTTATTCACCTGATCTGATCGCCGACTTGGGCATCGAGGACTAGATGAGAGGTCGTGTTAGACGAAACGGAGAGTCCTGCCGAGATGCTGCAACTCAACTGGAAAAAAGTAGGGATGTCTCATTTTTCGATCATTATTCATAATTATTTACACATCTTCCTTATGGAAACAATTGCACGCCTTCGATGGGATACCGCTCCTCCAAATCAGTACCAAACCACAGTGAAAACAAAAACACTCACTCAATAACAATCAGAATCGATGAAAGCAATGAGGCCCGATTTTGATAAAAACGAGAATCAATTTCCTACGCCGCGCCGGAGCTCTTCAAGGGATTTCCACAATCGTATTCAATAACAATCAATAATTCCTAAAAGGGGAAATCCCCTTTAAATTGCAGAGATGTCGCGATTTTCGAATGTCAGGCTCGAGAACCATGCACTAAGTAAGTTCGCGAGAGATTCGTACGCATCTGCTCTTTGGAAGAGCTAGGTAATTTATATGGTGAGCAGCTCGTCATAATCACGTGTAGTGAAGCCGCATCCGGTAAAGGACGCTGCGAATAGTATCAGAAACGTTGTTTGCGCTTAGCTGAGTGAACTTCGGTGAACAGATGTGATGAAGACACACGCTCCAGGCGCCCGCCGCCAGCCTGCCTCGGCTCTGCAATGAGGTCAGCCTCGGAGGGGGCGACGAACGGAATTGCGATTCAACTGCAAGCCATCACTGTGCGCGGATGGCGGCGATTCGACCGTACGCTCCTCCCTCCTCTTTCGTACAGTTATTCACTCAGCTCTCGGAGAGTTCACAGCAAACAGAAAACCTCTCGGTTCTGTGTGCTCAGTCAGCTCCCACATAGGCGTGGAGGCTCGAGGGGAGTCATCGCAAGCCTTTCCTCCTGTTGCTGCTAGTGCTCCTGACATCTCCTTCATTCGACAGAGCTCCCAAGACGCCGATGGCACGATTTTTGACGCCGCTAATCACGAGCTCTCCGACCGAGAGAAGATGAACTTTCCACCCTGGCTAGAGATTCATTCCTTCAGCGTGGTGAATGTCAAAGCCATCTCAATCTAGACTGGCTGTTGCGTTCACGACAGTCTACAAACTCGGTGGGGAACTTTTCGCTCTGACGAAACAAATATTCCTCTCAATGGATTCCCGCGGTCGACGGCGCCCACCAGCGGTAGAGAAACTCACACAGAGCGACCGAGATGCGTTCCTCGCGGAGGCTACGAGGAGGCATCCGGGAATCCATTCCGCGTTCTAAGGTAGAGAGGAGCAACGTCAATGGCACCTGTGATGGCCATGATGAAGACTACGTGACCCTCAGACGCAGGAAAAAACATCCTCCCACAGCTGAAAATGAGACTCAGTTTCGATTGGGCCGCCCACGTCTACCGTCCGACTATGGGTAAGGGTCTAACAGATAGCTCGGTAGTCCGTTACTCGCTCGTTATTGCTCAACACAAGGCCTGAGCCGACCGGAATGCCAAGGACCCGAGAGGTCTCCGGGAGAAGTTTGGTCGTGGAGCGGACGGAGGTGAAGTTCGAGCGGCTTCCGCAGGCTCCGTGTCCGATACGCGCAGGAGAGTCCGCGGTGAGCAGAAGGGATAATATAAGCTCTGACTAGATGGCGGCGGCGACGGCCGGCGGTGACCCGGAGCTGACCCTCGACCCACTGACTTGACGCTCGGATGAATGTCTGCCATCAGTGGGAAGACGCAAAGCTCCGAAGGCAATTAGCAATTCCGCTGAGTATAATGAGAAGCTAAAAAGATCCCGACGTTGTCGAGAGCGACCGAAAGGAAGCAGGCAGGCGAGAGACGAAGAGGAAGACGAAGTATCCCCCGCCGGCTGGAGACCTCGGGCTATAAAATAGCTATTACGAAGTGCAGGATGCGGAGTCATCTGGCGACGGCCGCCCTTGCGATTCGAGCCCGGCGTCCTGCAACGGCACCAGCGGCGGCGGCGGCGGCAGCAGCCATACTCTGCTGCCCTTAATCCTAACTCACACGAATTGCTTCTTTCTGCTGCCCTGAGCAAGACTTCGCCGCCGTCGGAAGAAGAGGATGTGGCGACGAGGCGCCGCCGCCCTTGGGAAGTGTAGCCGCCATCGACGACGTCGTCGCCGGAAAGGCTGCAGGCTGTTGACATCCGGAGTCTTCGAAACAAGGAATCGATTATTCTTCAAGGAGCGAGCGAATGAAGTTGCGAGCACTTACAGCAAATTGATTTCAGCCATTTGTTGATTCGAGCTCATTTCGATCATTCGAAACGGAACGCAGCCCGCTGCGACAAATTGGAAATCTGACTGAAGTTTCAGAATTCTGCACGAGGCTCTCATATGGACGGGCGTCGAATGTGAATGAATCCGTGGCCGATTTTCCCTCGTGCATATTCGAATCGTCGCGAGTTGTTCGCCGAACGAATCTCCGGATTTTGAGCGAAATTCGTTTCGGATCTCGGTCACGCCTCGCTCGTCTGAGATTCCTCGAGACGACGCCGAACGATGACCAACCCTACGCTCTCGACCGGGTCGCGAGCTCAGTGGACGTACGATATTTGCGGAGAAACACTCGAAGGGATGAAATCTTTTGATCTCTCGATCGGTTGAGCTTCCGCCACACCTCGTCGCCGTGTTCGATGAGCTTCCCGAATTGGGAGCAAAATACTACTGCGATCAGCAATCGTCCGGGAGGAGAACGTTCAAGCAGTTAGGATTAATAGGAGCACGGTGAGACGCTAGACCCAAGCGCTGGGGATGATTCGTTCCATGAAGGATCGAATCGGAACACGGTCGGAACGAACGAGCGATCGGCCGTTAGCGAAGTTCATCCTTCGCTGCGCCGATCATTCCCTCCGGCTACGAACTGGAAAGGAAGACGTCGGGGGGCGGACGCACCGGCGCACAGACGAACCGGCGAATGAACGAATCAGCCAACCGACCGACCGACCGACTGACGAACAAACGGGCGTCAAGGGTCTGCCAGAGCGAAGTTATTCGGGAAGGGCGGCGTTCAGTATAAAGTGTTCAACCGGGCGTCTACCTACTAAGATGCGTGGCACCGACACGATCTGCCCGTTGTTGGTTCAACCTCCACGAGGAAGAAAGAGCAAAAGGTTCGTGCGTCTCTTTAAATCCGCCCCTTGTAAAGCGTCTCCACCGCTTGCTCGCTCGGTTGGTTGCTCCGCGACGCTTTCGGTCCTGGCTCTTTTTATTTTTTCCCTCCGCCGATCCGATTTGCCGTGAGGGTTGTTTTGACCGGGAGATGACCGATGCGGCGAATCCCCTCCCCTCAGGGTCGATGATCGAAACGATCAATTCTACAACAGTAGAGCCCCGCCTCTTCCCCTCCTGTTGTTGACGAGCTCTGCCTCCCTGCTTGCGTCTTTGAGGACGGACGGGCATGCATGCACGCCCGCCCGCCTCTAACGTCACTGAGAGGTCTGTCCCTCGTCCCCTGAGGGGAGAAGTTTCGTTTTCTTTGACGTTTGATGTCCGCATTCGAGCGAGTAAGGAACGAGCGTACGGCGCGTACCCGCTACAAGGATCACCGTCTGCAAATTGCACACCTGCTGCCCTCTCGACTTGTGGTCATCGTTAACAAGCGAAACTTTACGCCGAGTCACATCTGGTTGTTCGCTCCTTTTTCCCGCTCTCTCCTGGTTTCGCTCACGCTTGTTGCCGGGACCGCCACCACCACCGTCCGTGCGTGCGTACGTACGTTCCTTCGTCCGTCCGTTGGCCGGTCGCTGATGCCAATGGATGGCAATCCGGTGGCTCGAGGGGTCTTGCCGCAACGACTGATAATACCTCCGCAGAGCTCGTTAGAAGCGACTCGCGGGGAACGCGGGCCGAGACGGTCGCCGAGGAACATCTCACAAACCATCTGATTGATGAAGCCACCGCATCAAACCACCCAACTCCAATGTCGTACCGTTCAGATCGGATCTCCAGCAGGAGAAGCACCGTCGTTATGGTATAGCGTGGGGAGATTCCGACGATGCGGTTCGGAAAAGCGACTCGTCGGGGGATTTAAATTATCTTCGAGATAAAAGTATATATTGATTCCGATGGGAATACGAAGGAGCCGACATGAGCTCTCATTCGCAGAGGCACTCCCTCTAATTAGAGTAGATCGTTCTCGGAGATATCATGCCCAGGAATGAAAACGAGATCCCTCGCTGGAGGAGTTCTTCTCTTATCGGAGCATTGAGCAAGCTGCCCACCGACATTTTTTTCCCAATCGTATGGGAAGCTGCGCCGAATCCCTCCTGACAGCGTTTGATGCGTGTACAAAGCGTCATCCTTGCAGATCTGTCAATCGTTCGGAAGTTTGAGCTCACGCCCACCAGATTGTGAGAACTCACAGCAAGGAAACGTTTGGGAGTATATCACGCGAGTTGCGTGTTTGTGGAGAGGCCATACCTATTTTGCCACGGGTCAATGAAAGGGTCACCGATGCGATCACTCAAAACAGGAATCTGGAGTTTCATCCTTTCCTTTTTCCGGAAGGATGGGAAAGTAGAAAGTAGCACTCAATCCTCCCAGAGGGGTAATCAAGATCAACTGGAATTCTATCTCGCCTCATCCAAGTGGAGTGATGAACCGAGCAGCTCCATAGCTGCTGGGAGGCGCGAGAACGCGAACTCCTGGCGCGCGAAGGATCTTCCAGAAGGGGTATCGGGAGTTCTAGATAGGAGTGAGCCGAACGAGAATCGACATCGATAATAAACCGCATGTTTTCAATTCGCTAATGAATAAGCTCGATGGGACCGAGTGACGGACTCGAAAAACGATGGAACGTGGGTCGCCGAACGAACTGTTCATGTTCCCGCTGCGGCTCGATCCTCCTTCGACTTCACCTCGCGAGCGTCTGCTCCCTGGTGCTTGAGCCGCATTCGATATACGTATGGCCATGCTTCGGGCGAGTCTCAATCAGTCACTCTTCGAGTATCGAAACAGTGTGACTGCAATGCCTCATCAGCTAATATCGGAGACGAGCGTTCGAGCATCGCGCAGCTCCTTCTGGCAAGACCAATGACGCCTGTGCGTTCAGACGGACGGACAGACAGGGGCAACAATAGACGATCACTTCCGATATGAGGTATAGCGCATCAATGGTTCCAGTCTCGCGAAACTTCCATCAAGAACGACCACTGGCCAACAAGCACGTAGGTAGTGAATCCATCCCAGCTGGAGAGAATCGGAAGCCTGCGAACGCAGCTCAGCTGTCTGGCCAGACCCTGAGAGTCCTATTTCTCAGAGTCGATCAATCGATTATCCCGAGAGCCAAGTGGATAAGGAAGAAGTGGTGGATTGATCAAGGGGAAGGGGCAAGAGGAACGGTGGTAACAGAAGGAGAAGACAGCGGAAAGACTACACGCACCAGAGGAAACGTTCTATGTGTTCGGCGAGCGGGACTTGCTGGATAACAAGGAAAAATGCGGGGGAAGAAAGGAAGCGATGGGAGGAGGCCGAGGGAGAGAAGAACCACCGTGGCGATGCATCTCTACTCGGGTAACTCGAATGCGTCAACCAACAGTGCGCCCTTGTGTGCGGTCACTAGATGTCTCCCCCTCCCAACCCTCAGATCGGCAAGCGATTTGCATTTTCAGAGATCCTTCTTCTATTCAGGACCCATTTGGTTCCCCTTGGAACCTTTTCCCGCTTCTGCGTTTTCGCTCATTTCCGATCGGCGTCCGGCAAGAGCTCTTCCAGCTGGTGTCCTTGACGACAAATACGCTCTCGAAGGCCGAAAATATTCGCTCTCCTCCCATCGGGATCCCGTCGCTTCGTTGAAAGGGTATATCCTCCGTTTTCCACCCTACTTCAGCTACGAACTTCGACATTGTTCGCACGAACGGAACCGAGGTAGAAAGGGTTCAGCGTTTCGGTGCGTCGATAATCTATAATTCTTTTCTCTTCTTGCCAGTGTAGACATCCGATGTTCTGACAGCTGCTACACATCGTTCTGTGAACGTGAGAGACTCGTTTGTCCTGAGTGAGCACAAATGCGAGCGCGGAGCTCGTTCGCTCTCCCGTGCGGAGACTCCGAGGCTCCGACACCCATCCACGCGGACCAGTGCGTGATTTCGCCCTGCTCGTTTCTTGCTATTATGTAAGGTGGAGTCAGCATTCCTTGTGCCGTCGCCTTGCATGCGATGCCTGCTCGTTTATACCGACCGGGCCTCAGGGATAAGGAAACGGGCCGTTTTTATCTAAAATCCCTCGCTGGCTGACCTCCTCGAACTCTTGAATCGACAACTTTCGAATCTCCTTGTCGACGTCAATCGGTGGACTCGAACGGGGGAAAATAATAATGATCCCTATCTGGACAGCGTAGAGAAATTCCTAAAAGCGTGATATATTAAGAAAACAGCACGCTAGGCGACTTCCCCCCGAGACCGGGGATTTTACGTGACGGCTTGACGTGTCGCAAGAATGCAAAAGGAAGGTGACAGATTCCATCAAAGTTCTCCTTCATCATGGCGCGCGTTAATCCTCTCTATTGTCCTTCGGATTCTTTAAGGGACGGCGAAACAGGAAAAAAAACGGAATATCTGAACGGGCGGGACAGACAGTGAGGAAGGGTGGAAACTTACGTTGTCGGTAGCGAGCGTCAGATTAAGAATGTTCCTGTTTTTCGCTCTCCAATACTTGAAGCCGGCTGCGAGTGACATTTTTGAAATACACTCGGGTCCAACTTCAGCGTCATCGTCGGTGGTTGTTGATTCGGGCGCACTGTAGATGCTTTCCGTTGTGGGTTTTGACGCAGTTGGACTCGTTTGCGATGAAATCACGCTCGAAGAAGATTCGCTTGTGTGCACTGGAGGAACACCGATTGTTGTAGAGAGCGGCGGTGGAGGCGGTGACGACGTTGTCGTGGTAGTAGTAGTTGTTGTTGTAGTGGTCGCGGTCGTTGTCGTCGACGTAGTCAGACTCTCCGGAGTAGTAGCCGCCTCGGCGCCAGAGCCTTTTGATGTCGTTTTGATGCTTTCGGGAGAAACGGCCACCGCCGATCCAACCGATGCAATTGGTGAAGCAATGCTCTCATCGGACGTCGACGACACGGTAGTGGACGAAGCGCTCGTAGTTGAGGTTTTTTTCGAACCGGAAATTTGATCGGTGGTCTCGCCGTCTATCTTTGCAGCCTTTGAATTCTTTTTCGAGAGCAATTTTTTCGACGGAAGCGGTTGTTTGAGTTTCTTCGCCGACAATGACTTCTCTTTCATGGGCTTCGTTGATTCGGCAGTCGTTCCAATGACGGAATCGACGTTCGAACCTCCAATGCTAGCGGAGGCGGTCGTAGACGGCGTCGACTGCGGTGGCGTCCCCGCCGTAGACGACGGCTCCTTCCGCTCGGACTTTTCAATTGCTTCCTCGATCTGACGTGCAGATTGCTGAATCAGCTCTTCGGTATTTACATAAGGACTCTGCGAAGAAGCGTCCGGAGAAGCTTGTGGCACTGGACCCGAGGTGGGGTTCAAAAGCGACACCGAACCTTCGTAGACGACGGCTGCGGCAACCGTCAACAAACATCCGCCAACAACGAGGATTAGTCCGAACGCGTGCATTGCGAGCGACGATTGGCGCTTGTTCATCACCACAAACACATTATCCTTGACCGAGTTGAGATTTGTTTGCACAGGGTGATAACACACAATCCTCAGCAGCAGCAGCACTTGTCTCGTAGACGAACGCCTCGCCTTCCTGCCTCACTCGGCGTTGTGGATGCTAGTCTTACCGAGAAGCGTATGGGAGGGTTAGGAGGAGTCGGTCCGTGTTGAGGAGGAGGGAGGATGGGAATGAGGGAAGGGGAAAAGCACTCCTCTTCCCCATGAGAAAAGGGAAAGCTTTTCCTCGTCGTCACCGGGAGCTCTTTAGTCGAGGCGCTCCGACCCCGGTGAACTCGGCCGTCACATGGGAAACGGCCCACATCATCCGAAGCAGGACTAAATGGGCTCGAAGATGTCCTGTCGGAGGCTGCTCTCCACGAACAACATCGAGCTCAAATGACACTCTAAGAATGTTGCGAATTCTGCGTGGGGATCTTTTTGGGAGGAGTGGGGGGAGGTTGCGATCGATTTCCATCGCCTCGATCTCGGAGAGCTCGCTCGATTCGGCAGGGGAATTCCGACCCTCATAATTTCACTAATCGGAACTTCAGGAAAGGTTATCATGGCCTGGGTGTCTGCTTAAAATATCCTGATGAGATGAGAGCCCTGCTCAGCTTCTTCTTCCCTGCTCGAATGACTCCGATGCGCGAGAGGTTCCACCGTCGAGGCCCGCAGAACCGAATCCGGAGGTGCTCTTCCCCGCCGATGGTGCCATCGATCTAGACGCGATAGCGGAAATAGTAAGTGGAAGGATTCGGGGTTTTCCAGACATGGATCCCGACGATCCCACGGGAGAAGGGGGATCCTTCTGGTGATGGACGCTGTGCTTGCGCAAGATAAATCTCAATGGATCGATGGACAAAATGGAACGCACAAACGCCATCGTGTCTCTATCTGGGACGAGACATGTGTTCGTCCATGAACGTTCTCTCGCTCGCGGAATTCTTAGGCAGGAACTATTCCCACGGGATGCAGTCGAAACTTGTCTGCCCTCTCGACGTATATGTTTGCATGCTTGAACATGCTCCACCTACGTTGCATTCCTATCGAGTGAGGCTCGCCGGACCGGCACTGACGATCGGTGTCCGATCCAACACGCGGGGGTCGCCTCGCTCACGTCCGTCCCGTGTCCTGATGGGGGTTGGTTCCTGGCGGACAGGTACCTGGTGGATATAGCGGCGCCATGGAATACTCGACGACCGCTGCGAGTTGCTATCGATGCGCCCTAGCTCTGGAATCCAACATTGGAGTCGCACGACCGCATTCCTGCGTCGCGTCGTCCAGGACACCTGCCATCGGCTCAGTTGTGATCCGGCGCCCGGCTCATCCCGGGAAGGGAGCAGCAGACGCCTCCGCTGAGCGTCTCTGAGAATTTACGGAACCGAAGACCTGATTCCCGGTAGAATCCTGCGTGCGACATAGCTCCGGAATTTCGGCTCTCGCTCTTCTTGAGATGGTGTCGGGAGAAAAAGTTGAGCCACGGCAACAATGTTCCTCCCGATACGGAAGAATTCGCCTTTTCGGATCCTCTCGGCGAAAATCGCAATTTCCGCGAGTCAGGCGGGGAACGGTTGGTTGGCTGGCGGCCGCGAGTGTCGATGCCGCCTCCGTGTGGGGAGGGCCTGTCTCTAGGATCTGTTGAAACATTCTCTCACCTTTGTCGTCTCTTCTCGGCCCATTTACTGGCGTCCAAGCGAACGACAACTTTTGCTGCTCTCGGCCCTCAGGGCTATAACTCATCCGAATCAAGGCGGCATTCTTTCTCCCTCATGTCTTGTCTCTCGCGTCATTCTCCCCGTCGCTTCGCCGATAACGAACTTTCTCCCCATCCTCGCCGCCCGGAATCAGTATCACCCCACCGCTCCCAACGTCTCCGGCTCTTTTTTTCCCTCCAACCCTACAGCCCGCGAGGCGGTCATTGTTATCTTATCTTTTCAGTTCGTCGCCTCATCCCATCAGCAGTCGAATTACTCAATTGCATCATGGTGTTACCCCACTTTTGTGAGGAGTGGTAGCCAATAAATTAGCCGGATCAAGGGGGACCGTTGGGAGTCGTTTTTTTCTGCACCAAGTGCCCGGTGGCCGTCTTCTCAGTGCAGGATGAGCGATTAATGCATCTATCTCGCGAAGCCGACAGAGCGAGAGTGTCGCCCTACGCCGGGAGGGAGAAGCGATTCCGGGGCGAGTGGGCGTCGAAACGTCGGTGGGTCGAACGGGCAAATTGACACCACCGCATTTCGAAACCGACAACACGAATAGGTCTCCTGTCATTCGCCCTACAGACCGACCGATGGATCGATCGATCGACCAAGCGACCGGCCAAGCAATACGCCACCCAACCCCGCGACGGAATAATTACTCCATGGAAAGGTGTCCAATTACAGGCGAGGGCGGACGGCTCAGCGGACGAGTCTACGCCGACTCGAAGCTTCCATTCGGTAGAGTATGCCGCAAGTGCGTGCGATGTACAGACAACAGCGGTCCCATGAATAACGTACAAGCCAAGTAACAGGCCCGAGTTACTGCCGTCTTGTCAACTAGCCATGTATTTACAGTGGTTCGCCACCACTCATATACGACCGTCTCGGGCGGTGACCTAAATGTCTGCAAATAAAATGTTCCTCTCAGACTCGACGCTTCAAAACTTGTAACGACCGAGCGACAAGCCCGCTCGGCTCGCTCGGGGATCCACCGGAAGAATTTCAAAAGTTTTCCTACAGACGATCGGCCGGCCACGCAAGCTTCGGAGCGAGTCGAAGGCATTACGTTTGGCGAGACCGAGCCACGTACACACGTCGGCGGAATTTCAATCTCACTGGCACTCTACTTGACGAAGCAAACGGCGCCGTTAGCTTCTGCGCCCCAGGGAAATCGCTCCGGGCCCGATTCTTGGACCATCCAATCAATCGAAGGGATACACCCCGCAGTTGTTGCATCTCAGCGGATCACCGGGGCGATTATTGAATCGCAGCCGTTGGATGATGGGTCCCGGCCAACAGAACTCGGGACGGCCTCTCGGTGGGGACGTTTCGGGAAAATGACAAGGCTATCCGGAATTAGGGTTGCCTAATCGACATCTCCATCGGTAATTAGAATCAGTGTTGAAAGAGCTTATACCGGTCTCCGACGGGTCCTAGTCCCCACTCCCCCTCGACGGCCTGAGGAAGGACCCAGACGACGTTGAGCGTGAGCGTTGCGTTCGAGTCATCGCTTCGGAATCCTCGAGAATTTCCCAAAAACGGCCTCGCACAGCGCACTTTCGGAAGCAGCCGCGCATTCCCATTCCGAGCCCGTCCGTGAAGCTGATTCCGCATTCGGGGAATCGTGTCGTTTCCGATCGCGGTGGCGCTTTCCGCTGACCCCTCTGAATTCACATTCCATTGCGGTTTCGAAACCTCGATGTCTGTTTGCCTTTTCGCCCCCGTCGTTTTTCACGCGGCCCTCCCCGCGGGGCGTCTCCCATCCAATAGTTTCCATTCAATTTTAAAAAAGTTCAGCCGTCGGCGTTGAACGCTCGGCCACGGTCCGGACCGACATCTCATGCGAGGAGGAGTGGTTTTTTCGAGTTATACGCGCATAAGTGGGGTTCTCAAGGAAAATCCGAGTCGGCACCCCACCGGGAGCGAACGCTGCGGGATTATTTTCAAAGCACCGGGTTAGGCAGCCGTCCATCAGAGCAGCCTGTCGGGCTGCGGCAAGCGATCTGTCCGAGCTGGCGGAGGCTCCGAGAGAACGGTGCGACGACCTTTCGCTCCCACTTCGAACGGCGCCATCTTGGATTATTTCCCCTGTTGTTTGATTCGAACTGTATCATGCTATCTTAAATTCTTTCAATCACTAAAGTAAAACTTCGGATTGGCAAGTTCCTGCCGATTCTCGGATCTATCGACGCCGTCGTCGAGTTAAGTCGACACCCGTTACGCTCTGGTTCAGCCAGAGACTTCCAGCAAACAATTAACAGGTGAGTCTTCTGTCGATCCTCGAGCAACGAATTTCTGGAAATTCCGTGCATGCCGTCTCGTAGGGAACCTCCCGGTGACTCCTTCAGGATTAGAGCGAGTGCCGCGACACCATGTAGTTTCAATAGTCCCTGGCGGATTCGTCTTGGAAGGCCTGTGGAAGGGTACGCATGGAGGAGCACGCTGCGGATCGATGCGCCACGTTCTCGGACGGAATCGAGAGAAGCTTCTCGGAAATTCTACCACAAATCGCCGGCTGAGAAACGGAGTTAGCCTCGTTCATTGTCACGAGCCCTGATCACGGAATACAGTTCGCCTGTCCTGGTGATCTCCTTCTTCTCGAGAGACCGCTTTCCTAGAATGGAGCAATCGAATCAGCTCCGAGACGAGGAGAAAATCAGTGGACATTCCATTCCTTTCCTCGCAGAATTTTTTTTTTGCATGCCCGTCATACCACCGACGCTGCTGCTGCTGCTTCTAGAGATTACACGACAGTCATCCTCGATCGAAAGCAAGATCGTGGAACTTACCTCGCCTCCATGGAACGCGTGGCACATCTTCGCACTCCAGCGATGTACCTTCGACTCAATGAAGACCGACTGCTATTGGCTGTAGAATGAGTTCTTTCCATGCTTCTCCCCTCTCAATATTCAAAGATTGCGCGTTTACCCTCGCCTAAATTTCTCGCGATGAATCCGGTTTTTCCTCGGGTGAGGGTTCCTTGTTCCAAAGGCTTGGTCACGCTCCAGATACATAATATCAGATTCGTAGAGCCACCACGGCGACATCAGTTTGACTAGTCTGATGCAAACATGAGCCCCGACAATGGAACTCCACCTCGGAGCCGTCGTGTCAATCTCGGAACTTGGGTTGCAATCTCCGTTGTCGGAACTCGAACCGAGTGAGAGCTCAGATCCGAGAACGTGGAGAGCAGATTCCGATCAGAAGCAGGCTCGTCGGTCTCTCCGACCAAGAGACGTTTCGTCTCTGAATGCAAGAGCAACCTTGTAACGGGATCAGCATGACATGGGTGGCGGAAGGAATCAGATTTGTCAGTGGGATCAAAAGGATTAAAAACCGGTGCGGCTTCCGCCTGAGTCCTTTCCGCGGAGGGAGCTCTCCCGACCGGAAGAGCTTCTCTTCTCTCGGAGACACCGACAGGCTCAAGTATTCATCTCATTCTCGTTTCTATTCACTCCTCTTCTGTGAGCGTATCTTTTTCCTCCCTGGGAAACCTTAGAAGAGCGATGTAGATACTTCGTTTCCACGGGACGGCACCGGTTGAGTTTGATACTGACCGATTTGCTTTCGAAATCGATGTGAACGTTCTAGCTCGAGCTCAGTCAGTCGCAGGGTGGATGTCACAAAAACTGTGGATACACTCTCCAGGACTCCTCTTGCTAGGAGCTGGCCCAGGAGCCCCGACCGGGATCAAGTTTGCCCGGGCAATTTCCCGAGTTGGAAGAACAGCCAGAACGTGCGGGCGCACTGCGAGTGTTTTCTGAGAGAGTACGCGGAAGCTCTAACCATGATCGACATAACGAGGCTGACGCGAACGCACAAACGCAACGAATGAAATCGAGCCCCGAAGTATAGCGGGCTGCGGAAGAGCTCATCGCGAAGCGGGTTTACGATTTCCGATCCGAAGAGAGTCCAACGAGAAGGCCATCCGATTGGGTCGGTGTTGGGCCGGCGCAGCCATCGACTGACGTTATCCTAATGATAATGATCGGATCGAAGATTGACAACGCGTCGCCGAAGGAGCTGAGCATTGCACAATTCAATGTCACATTGATTAATCATTGGGCATCAGCTTAGCTAACGGGGCGGTCACCAAGTCTTCTGTGGAATACTTACAAAGCGACGTTAATGAGTACGGCCGTCCAACGCTGGCGTCTAGACAGTTGCCGAACGCAGCCAGAGCCAATTTCACCATTCTCATTCTCATTTCAGGATGCATTTGTCGGTGATATCGAATCCAACCTCTCCTCCTGACCAGATCTCTTCCTCGCTCGAGCTGGAGCCGATGTCGACGTCCGAAGACGAAGACATTGCCAACAACAACGAGCATGAAACCCATTCGTCGCTATCAGCGTCCTCTTCCACAACAGATTCCGAGCTTTCGTCCAATCTCCACATGGCATACTTCGACAATGGTGAGCACATGACTCATCGTTAGTTGCTTTGGAGCAGGCCCCGGAGCTCCGGAATTGGCGCGTCATGGATTTTGGGACAGATTTCCCTAGCGGCGACCGTGGAGAGAGCGCATCCGGATGCACGCTCCCACCGTGGTCAATAAACAACTGGAGTCTCATTCCTGCGAGCTGAACGTCATCTGTGATATTCCTCTACCGTTTTCCGGTCGTTTGATGTTTGTTTTGAGTGGGAGCGCGGCTGAGCGCACGCCCCCAATTGCCTCCGTCGATTTCGCCGTCGATGTCCCTCGCTCGCCGGATTCGGAGCCAACTTGAGCTTCCGGATAAGTCCACGTTCCCCCGATGCTCAAATGGAGGCTGCCTCTGATGGCGTTCCGCATCCTATTGCTCCATCTTTCCCCGTTCCCATTCTCTCAGACTTCTCCTGACGGGAGAAGGCGGTGAACGGGAGGAGCTGCCGTCTTACGAGCCATCTAGGGGAGCTGCAACCGGTGGCATTGTTTTGATCGAAAACTTTCCCAGCAAAGACGCTTTCCCGCTCTCTGTGCACCAATAATCTCTCTCGGAAGGTTAAAGAGTCCAACTTTTAGACGTATTAGCCTGCGAACGTAATTCGCGTTTGATCCGATTACTGTCAATGTACAGCTCGAGTGAACAGTCGAGGTTGAGTTGGACTGAAGTCCACCGGGCTCAGTCGTCCGCAGAGTTCTAGTCCACCTAAGCGAGAAGCGGCTCGATTGCCTCATGTCTTAACAATCTCAAGCCTGTGTCAAGATCCTGTGTCAGAACAGCAAGGCAACGAGGAATGCTAGAAGTGGCCTAAACTTTTGGACATACACACCTCTCCTCCAGACGAAGCAGCCAGGCTGGCGGCTTGGAAATCTGAGCCGCATCGTTCCACGCAAGCGACTCCGACATCTGAAACTAACTTGGATGATTTTTCCTCTCGTCTGTGTTGCCTTCGCCTCGTCTCAGACTCGCGCGTTACGTCGCTCAGACGTGAGCGGAAAGTCGGAACGAATCGTGGAACCGCACTGAGGGAGGACACGAGAGCTTACAACTCTTGTCCTAGCGATGCAAGTACGATTTTTTTTCTCCTCCGACGCGAGCGAAATGCAAAACTTTTCACAACTCGGGGAATTCCCGGAATGCACGACCGTAACAAAGTTTAGGTTGTGAGAGTCGAGGCGCTATTAGCTGCGTTAAATGATGCGTTTGGGGAAATTTCGTGTTTTTTCCCTCCCCAGGAGACTTCCTCCTGCCATGAAATTTTTGGCGCGTATCGCGTCTGAGCCGATCGAAGCGCTGATATCGGCATTGCTTCCGGTCGCTGAGTCCGATATACGAATCGATTCCCGTGCCCCGAGAATCCCATAGCGAGGGAGGAGTACAAATCCTCCGGACGAGATGATCCACAGGAGCGGAGTCGGTAGATGGAAATCGCGATGTTGAGCGCAGGGTAGTCACGGCGACAAGTGGCACTTTCAGAATCTGGCTTCGTTATTAATGCATTCGCATTTCCTGCAGGTAATCTGAATGAATTAGCGAGCAACGAAGCCGAGGAGACGGAGGAGCTTATGCGAAAAGCCGCCCAAACAATCCTGGATAGAACTCCTCAGCGCGCTCGACAAATCTCCCAATCGAGGAGTCTGCATAGCATGCGGACGGCTCCTCCGGAATACCGTGTCCAGGTGAGATGGGATTTTCAGTAGAGGGGTATGCGTTCGATTTCGGATCAGACGACGGAGCCGTCTGACTGAGATAGATCGAATTACGTCGACTAGCGCGTCTTCCAAGAAATGGTTTTACGGCTGGAATTCCCCGGCGAGAACGACTGGATCATATCCGACGGGAATATTTGGGAATTCCACTGGAATGAACTTTGCCGGCTCCGAATAGGAAATTCGAATTCAGCCCGAACGAACTCCCCATCGAAAAATCAAACATTGCCTTCACGTACGCGAGGGTTTGCAGGTAGTGGAGGTCTTCGGAAGGTTTACGTCGGCTCCCCTCTCTCGCTCGCCCTGATCTGATTCATTATTCATAACATGATGAAGAATTTACACTCTTATCAAGAACACGGTATCGGCGGATAACGCCAGGGATGACCTTGCGCCGCGTTCCAATATGTAGAGTGACCTTCGAAGCTGTTTACTTCTCGCCGAGAGTCTTTTACTCGAATGAGATAGAGTCCGCGAGCTCATCTGAAAGCCACGCCGATTGAGACGCGAAGAAAATATCGATGACACTTCGGACGAAATCGCGCAACCAGGTCGAGCTACGAAGCGTGACCGGTGAGCTGAGACTCCCCGTCCGGAAGCACACGGAGCGGACTGAGCGGCATTCCGCATGTCTGAATTCTGTTCGCTGTTCCATTGACGAACGACCGAGAATTTCGGAGGCTTATCGCGCTCGCCATGAGAAAGTCCCCGCTGTCCACCGGAGCATATCGAAGACGGCAGACGAGGGCTTCGCTTTGTGAAGGGTCACGTCTATCTGAAACATGCACACAACTCATATTTCTGCTTGATGTCAGTCATCTTTCATTCTTGCCTTGACACAAGAGTTCGTGCTACAAGCAGAAAGGAGAGCGAATCGGTCACCTCTACGCAGAGTTTCGCTCCGGAGCTGTGTTTCGGTCGAGGCTGTACTCTACCTCTCTGGGGACTCTCAAGCAATTTTTCCGAGCGGAAAAATCTGAAAACGATTCATGTTCCGAAACAGAATTATCCGGGATAACTCAATAGCGATGTCTCCATCGCAGGTGCCTAGAATGAGACTTTTTCTTCCAGAACGAGAGAGAAGCCGAACAAAACTCGTCGAAATTCCATCGATCCCGACTGCGCGATGACCGCGAGGAGATTCGACAACGACTAGGCATGTTGGATGTGGAAGAATCAAAAGTTCTACTTGCACCGAAGGATTCGGAAGGATCACGAGAGCCTTCTAGCGATGAGACGAAGGTGAGTGACGAAGAACAACAAACGATCCGTCCCAGGATTCTCGATCGGGCTGTTCTCGGAACAATGTAGCGAGTTCCGTCCGAACAAGTCCGGCACAGAATGATTTTGCCCACGAATCCAAGCATCCCCGATTTGGTACAAATTTTATTTCCGGGGAGTCCCGACGGACAAGATAATTATAGTCAGATCACCATTGGGACATGTGGCCGCGGCAAAACTGATCAGAAGTTGCTCCCGGCGACTGCTGCTACAATGAGAAAGCAGCGCACTAACTCCTTTCTCGATTGTCGTCCGCATTAGAACTCCGTTCTCCTCGCCCGGTGCACTTCCCCCGAGAGACGACCAGCACCGACTCGCTATCGTTTTCCGATTTCCATCCCGAGATCTCGTCCCTCGGTTTTCCTCCTCCCTCCTTCGCTCTTTTCCTCTTCGATGACCTCTAAATACCGAGACTTTCGCCAACGGCGCTCTTGAGGTGGGCGAAGGCACCCACCTACCGTTTCGGCCGTGTGAGATCTTCTGTTACTGTCCGAGTTTTCTGCAGGCTTCCTGGGATTCCGAGCCGCAGCGTTAGCCGAGATCCCGAAACTGGCAACGTCTTAACCCAGTCTGCGGATTTCAGGTCACGGATTCCCGACTCCCACGAAGGAGTCGGGTTCAAAGACCGACGTCCTTCCCGTGTCGTCGCAAACCCATTCGTCTGAACTGCATGACACCTATCAGTACCGACGACCAATCATTCTTGGCGAGGAAAACGCGACTCATGGCCGAGGCGCGGCTCGCTCTGGCTCAAGCACCCGAGCATGCTCGGAGAGAACTTCAGAGCTTACGCGAAAAGCGGAATCTCCAGCGGAGGAGTGCTGTCGCATCGCTGCTCCTGCCCCCGGGCTCGCGACGTTTCAATCGGACAATACTTTCGAAACTCTGTGCTCGGAAATTGCAATTCATCCTCAACGATCTACGCGAACAAGTGGAGAGTCTCAACGAAGAGCTCGTCAAGCTCCTGTTGCAGAGAGACGAATTGAACATGGAGCGCGATGGGAAACTTGTCGAAATCGAAGATCTCGATAGAATCGAACCCGATTGGTGAGTTCCACCGCCCGCCGTAGGTTCCCGTCGGCCGATCTCCCGGCTGTTTTCGAGATATTCAGGGAAGCGCCTTTTGCTTTCAGCAATACAAGCCTGCTCAGCACCCTGGTGCAGTCGATGTGAGCAGATGGAAAGCAGAGAGAGTATCTCGCTACTCTGGACCTCTCATGGGATGTCAAACCGCCCAGACAAGATTTGATGGTTTGCGGATATTTGTTGGCAATGATAACGATATAGTCGCCGTCCGGGAGCGGAAGCTCTGGAACTTTGATAGCTTCAAAAATAGAACGTCTGTTGTGTAGTGTAGACCGAGCGGAACCATGCGGAACAATGTTTCTCGACAAAACATCCGGAGACTATGCGCGTCGACTCGAGGCCGTAAGTCGAAGTTTGCAACGACCGTTTCGGGACTTTTTGAATCGAATAGAATCGACGACAACTCCTCGTACGGACCAGACATCGTTCCAAGGGAAAACCTGTAACGAGAACGCTTATGGAATACTAATAACTGTCGTAATCCTAAAATAAGTGTTCCGGGACGGGTCTGCGCATCGAAGATTACGTCGGAAATCGCTTCCCGGGTGGGCGATTCTCCTCGTGCATCGGAACTTCAAGGAGGTTCGGAGAATATCATCAGGAAGTATTAAACGAGAGAAAATGGAGCCATCCCAGGTCCATGTAAAAAATTGATACCGCCGTAAGCTCTAAAGCGTTGAAGGAGAGGAAGAATAAACTGAGTGCGTTATATTACTTAAAAACCGGTCTGCTCGTAGATATGATGACGGAAAATTTCGAGTCCAATGCAAGCAGCCGCTCTGAGCTCTGCTATGCCCGACAACACAGGAACTCCGGGATGTGCTAGACAACACTGACAGAGAGCTCGCGATCGGTCTACGATATCGCTCCTAGATACGCGATCGGTAAGATTCAGGGGCTGTCTGGTCAATAAATAATCCATTCGCTGCACGAGAAGTTTGCTGCAAATAACGGGGAAAAAGTTGAATGGATGGAAGAACGTAGCAGACCAGCCTTCTCCTAGAAGTTCCCAACCAGAATAGTTGAGCAAGATATACCCGTTCCGATCCCGGTCGTCTGCTACCGCGGAGGCTTCTTAGTGGTCCGTAGATAAGAATGGAACTCTGAGAAAGCGATTTATCTTACTTTCGGGAGGAGTTCCCTCCCCTCAGTCAGCAAGTCCCCGATTTCTCTATTCGACCCCCTGCGTGCTTATCCTTCCCTGAGATCGCAGCTGAACAGCTGGGCACGAGAAACGAGGAATCGATAGGAGAATCCATCGTCTCCATATTATACTTGAGGCAACGAGCGTCAGGAGAATTCGATATATCAACAGAAAATTTCCCCCTATACTATGTAAATATGCAATGCCTTTCATGAGATGATACACCTCACCACGAAAGCACCGAGGTGGGGGGACGGGAGTGGTCAGCGGAGAGGAATAAATTCCCACTGGAAGTTGAAAGAAGCCGTTCGAGGTACCTACCAACGCATTATAATTCACAAGGATAGCGCGGAACGAGTTTTGCATTGTTCGGACGGTCGCCGATTCATTGGGACGTGCTCTCGTTCCGGAGTCGCGTTGGGCAATGAAATTCGTCTTCCGCTACTCTGAATTGCCAATGTCTGGGTCAATATGTGGTTAGACCACTTAGTCGGTAATAGGCAAGCAGGCAGACTGCCAGAGGCCCTGTCCAACCTTTTCCGACGTTCGGCCCGCATCGAAGCAAATAAGCAAGCAAGCAAGCAAGCAAGAAATAGACCGACGTCGTCGCCGCCGCCGCACATCCCCGTCGTCCGTTCGAAGTTCGTCTGGTATTTCCCCCTCGACGCCGTGTCGCCAAGAAGTCCGGACTCGGCTGGTGTTTCTTCCGAGCAAAAGTTGGGCGGCGTACTCGGCGTTCCTTCCGAAGGGCCGGAGCGATGCCCTTTCGCCGTTGCTGCAACTTGTGAACAGAGCGCGGCGCCTGTAAAGACCAACTGTCGAGTAGGGAGCAGACATTTTACAACAGCGCTTTGGACGAGGGCTCGACAGCTGCTGGAGGTTCTGTGTCCACGGGCGCAGCTTTTATCGAAATGTCTCAATTAAACAAAAAGCGTCCGTGTCCGCTCCGCTACCCAACGGTGACACGGGCATCGTAACGACGCGAAGGATTTCGTCGACTGCTCCCTCAGGACGCCTTCGGTCGCTTGTCGTCGGGTCGAATGGTAAAATAGAACGTGGCTGAACTCTGCTGCCGCGGGGATAAATGACCAAGAAAAAGGACACCTTGCGGTAATATATCGTCTGCGGAGCCGGGAAACGCAAATTCCTGACGGCTCAGCAGCAGCTTCAGGAGACGACGCGCCGCCGCCTATCGTCTACGACGTGTATGTACTTGTATTGCTCGTAGAATAAGACACCGACGATACATATTCTTCTACTTTGCGACGACATCAGAGTATCGGATAGATACCTTACCCACTTTCACAGGAGAAGACTTCTCTTGTGAAACGAGCCAAGAATCTACATTGTCGTCGTGAGACGGAACGGGACGGGCGGAAGAGGGTCCCATACGATCCCGAAGAATTTCTCTGGAATGAAATTATTTTGATCGATGCCTACACTTTAAGGGGCTTCCATTCCGAAAATTCTCGGCTGTATCGAGCTCAACATTCTCGAACTTCAAACGCAGCTGCGACGTAGAGTCTGCATATCTCAGTCGAACACACGAATCGGTGGTTAGTCGGACTCGAATTCCACTTCTGCTGACACTGATAGAAAGACATTCGAGCGTTCGCCGTGGCTCCGCTCGGACGGAGACGACGACGACAGCAGCAGCGGCAGCAATAATACTGAGGAGCCCGCAGTGTCATGGGACACGAATTAGGAAATGGTCAAACAATTTCCGAAAGACGAGCGCGAATCCAGCAGTAGGGCGCTTTCGAGTCGGAACAATCGCCTCGAGCAGCTGCCGCGCAATTGTGGCAGAGACAAAGAGGCAAACTTTTCGCATGGAATGCATTTGTCGGAGCGACGGATCGACTCCAGGTGGAGTTCGCAGCGAAATATTTTGAGCTTTGCGGAGCTGCGAACTCGGGAGCGATTCCGCGCTGGTAGCTGCGTGGGGAGGCGCGATATGTTCCACAGTAGATGCTCAACTTGCCTGTTGGTCTGCCAGTCCGACTGACTGGCCTCGAGAGTTTTAGCGGAAGCCTGCAGTTTGTTCTGTTGCCCTCTCGCGCACGCGAGCCATGCCTGCGTCTTATACAAACGAGTGCTAATTTGGTTAGCAGCAAAAGTTTCGCCGCAAAGCAAGTCGAGTTGTGGGGG